CGCGGGAGGCGGGACTGGAAGAGAAGCGGCTCCGGCCCCGCCCGTGTCCGCGCGCCGGAGGCTGAGCCTGCGGGTATACGCCCGACCAAGAATCCCTCCCCCAACGTCTCCCCCGGAGGATGTGGGCCCCAGACGTCCCCGGGGACGACCGCCTGGAGAAAGCCACCCACTGAGGCGCCCCAAGATGTGCGGCAGGCGCCCGGAGAATCCCCCATCTCGTGATGCCTGCGGGAGCATTATCCTTGGGAGGATGTACCCCCAGAGTGCCCCCCAGTGTCCAACACCCAGGATGTTCCCCTGGAGGTCTGACTCCCCCAGGATGCCCACCCTGGAAGATCCCTGGCCCCAGGATGTCCCCAAAGGAAGGCCCCTGAGAATCACTCCCTGAACGTCTCCCAAGAGAGTGTTTCCCAGGAGATAAGTCCCAGGATACCACTGAGGGAGACCTGTCCCCCAACCCCAAATCCAGGAATTGTTCTTCTCCCAGAGGATGTCCCCACCGAATGTCCCAGACACCCGGGTGTCAACACGGCTTCTTTCCCTGTGCTCAGGGGAGTCCCCGGCTTCCTGCTGGCTGGGTTGGGGGTGCCCTCAGCTCCTGGGGGCTGCTGGCAGGCCCCTGCCCCCACAGGCAGCCACAGCATGACAGTGTGCTTTCTCAAAGGTGTCTCCAGCATGCTGTCTTATGTAACACAGCGTGGTCACCTGTGCCATATTCTGTCAGTTCTGCTCTGAAAGGCATAGGGGGACAGGGCCACACAGTCTTGACCCCAGGAGGCAGATGTGATAAGGGTCACCCTGGTGACCTCTCCAGGTCAGCAGCTGCTTTATGTATGCACATTGACTTCGGGCAACTGAAAGTCACTTTCAGCCACAGTTTCTTAGCAACTGCGGGTCCCTTGCTTGACTTCAGCCTTGGACATTGGCAGGCAGATACATGTGCCCCAGCTGAGTCCGAAGGAAAATGGGGAGTGACTGGGCACAGTGACTTACACCTGTCATCCCAGCACTTTGGTAGGCCAAGGTGAGAGAATTTCTGAGTCCAGGGGTTTGAAACTAGCCTGGGCAAGTTGGTGAGACCTCATCTCTACAATAAATCAAAAAACTAGCTGGGTGTGGTGGCCCACATCTGTAGTTCCAGCAACTTGGAAGGCTGAGGCAGGAAGACCGCCTGAGCCCAGCAGGTCAAGGCTGCAGTGGCCCTGAGTGTGTCAGTGCACACCAGCCTGGGCAACAGTGAACCCCTGACTCAAAAAATAAAAAAAAAAAATAAAATGGGGAGTGACCATCCCAAGTCAAACCCTTCTTCTGTAACTATTAAACCAGTTTGCTTAAAAAAATATATAGGTAAAAGCCCAGTCTGGATTTTAGATTTGGCCACAAGGACAGCTTCTAGAAGTTGTCTCTGGGGTGGTGGCAAGGTGGGGAGGCAGGGTAGCCCCAAAGGACACTGCTAGCCCTGCAGGCAGCCTCCTCACCTGTGCCAGGACTGGGCACTCCCTGTGTGTGTGCCAGGGACAGCTGTGAACAGGGTAGCCTTGCAGTCATGGCCACCAGCCCAGCTGAAGGACTCCTGGGTGCTGGCTCCTCATCCTCACTGGTCTGCCCATCTCCCCTGGCTGGAACCTGTGTCTACATGCTCTCACTCCCTAGCAGGACAGTGGCCTTGTCTGAGCACAATGGCCAGGGCAGGTTTCCTGGAATGTGAGTGAGGCGCCCAGCCTCATCAGATAGTTGAGAGCCAGGACCTGGTCATGATGTCAGGGTAGTCGGAGGCCTCTGAGAGGTGCTTGGCGGTCATCCAGGGTTTGGGCAATCTGAGAGGCTTGGGTGCATGGATTGCCCCTCTCCTGCCCCAGAACACGAACAAGCATGCTAAGTGCCCCTGCTCAAGAACTGTAGAATGATGTTCCTAAAAAGAACTTTTTTTAATGTGACATTTTATTTTTATTTATTTATTTATTTTTGAGTTGGAGTCTCACTCTGTCACCCAGACTGGAGTGCAGTGGCCGCTCCCAGCCACCGCAGCCTCGACCTGTTGGGCTCCGGCGATCCTTCCGCCTCAGCCTTCCAAGTAGCTGGAACTACAGGCGTGCGCTACCATGTCCGGCTAATTTTTGATTGATTGTAGAGATGAGGTCTTGCCAAGTTGCCCAGGTGGGTCTCGAACCCGCGGGCTCAGGCAATCCACTCACCTCAGCCTCCCAAAGGCGCGGGATTATAGGCTGAGCCACCGAGCCCGGCTAAAAGAACTTTTTAAAAAGATGATGCCAATGTGTTTCATGTGTTGCCACACCGAGCGCCCCTTAAGCTGCCTTTGTGTGGTTGTGCATGTACAGAGCTCATCTCAAGTGTTCATCATCTACAAGTGCAATCCTGCTGCTAGGACCAACCATGACCCAGGCTCTGTGCAGGGGGCACTGCTTCTCATAGTGAGCTGTCTCTGCTGTCCAGTGATGGCCAGTGTGGGCCAGGGTCCCCTGAGTGATACCCAGTGTGGCTAGCATTTGATGCTGAGGCTGGAGAAGGGACTGGAGGGGCCACACATGCATACACAGAGGAAGGGCCGGTGTGAAGTGCCCAGAGGGAGCACTGCTCATGGCCGAGGGACCAGCAGTGTGCTTGGCTGAGGGCGTCAGGTTAGACCTGCCTTCATGTCGCAGGTGAGAACAGCTGCAGCCATATTTGGCCCAACACACCCTGTTGATAGGCTGAAAGTCACATGTTGGCCTCTCTGGGGGAGTGTGACCTGGACAGGCTGCTCCCCCATTTCTCCTAGAGTGCAACAAAATGTTAAAATAATTGAGATGAGGCAGATTTGTTAGCTAGGCAGATTCTGAGGTCTCCAAAGATGGGGGTTTAGAACCACAGGCCTGGGAGAGGAGTGCCCTCCTGGCCCCCCACAGGGTTACTTGCTCCCTGATTCCTTGTTGTTCTGGGCTCCTTATGGGCCAGGCCTCCCTCATGGGCCATGACTTCAGGGTGGGACCCGGACAGAGCCCTGATTGAGGCTGGCCTCATAGAAGACACATGGGGACCCCTGAGCAGGGAGACCCCACCCTTCCCTAGCTGCTGTGATTGGATAGTAGTGGTCCCCTAGAGACCTCACCGCAGGTGGAGAAGAAACACCAGCCTGAGTCCCATCCCTGGCTCTGTTTGGGGTCTGCTCTGTGGCTGGATGCTACTGATGAGGCTGCAGATTCGTCCAGGATCTGCAGGAAGGGGACCCCTAGAGTCTCCCTGGCAGCTGGTCTAACCCAGGAGTGCAGATTGGGCCATCCTGTCCCCAAAGTGACAGTGGACTCAGTGAAGCCAGCCTGGAACCCAGTGGGTGACCCTTCCTGCCCTGCACCTGTCCTCTGCCTCCTTGGTTGGTACCTTGAGATCAGTGTTACCATGAGGGACTCCACAGATGGCCAGATCCATTCCCGGGGAAGGCTCCCCTGGCATAGAGGAATTCAGTTCCATGGGCAAGACACAGGGGCAGGGGTGGTCAGAACAGAGCGCAGCTTCCTGTGATTCCCTGGAACGGCTGGGCCTCCCCTGGTGAGCCCCAGTGTGGCAGCCTCACCTCACAGATGCAGAGTGGATGCCAAGGTCACTCAGCCTTTGCTCCCAGTGCTGCCGTTTGAAGTGCTTGTCATAGTAAAAAGAGTACACACTCTGCATCCCTCCTGCTTTGCTTATACATTGTATCAAGTGATGTTAACACATCACTTAAGTGTAAGCTTTAGTTACAAATCTTGGGACAATAGGGCTTCCTATGGAAGGAAAGTTAACTTATTTTGATGTCAAAATCACACAACCCCAGCTTAATTTTCTTTGTGCTTTAATATTCCACAGTTGAGTGAAAGCCAATCCTAGTCAGGGTGGGGCCTCTTGCTGGCCCTCCGCACCATCTCCAGGTCTGCTACTGGATCATACAAAAATAACCGCTACAAATTCTGTGTCTGGCATATAAAAACTGAGCAAAAAGGGCCTCAGTCATCAGTAGCTTAAAGCAAAACATCTCAGAAAAAAATACAACACGGGGTTAACTTCTGCAGTATTTTTTCATATAAAATACTAGTAAAATAGGCTTCTTAAAAATTAAATAGAGAAACGCCCACCACATATATACATCCTTACAGTACGAGAAAAGGAAGCCATGGATCCAGTTCCTAGTTCCCGGGTGGGGAGGGAGGCCATGGGTGTGGCCCAGGAGCCAGGAAGGCCACGTCCTCCTCCTATCAGTCAGTGCAGAGGCTCACAGAGGGCACCAGGAGGGGCTGGGTCGCAAAGAGGAAGAGCAGCCCTTGCGAGGACAGAGGCAGGTGTGCTTATTGCTTGTGGCTCCAGGCCCTCGCCCATCCACACAGCCGGGACCCCACACGTGGCGCAGACCCACCTCAGGAGGCTTGGGTGGCTCCAGGAACTGCAGACCATGGCCTTGGAGCCCTGGACATATCTCTGCAAGCAGCCACGTCTGCCGGGAGCCTGAGACAGGCAGTGTGGGCTTGGCCTTGGACGACGTCACTGTGGACGGAGGGGAGGTTCTTGGACCCAGACTGACTGCCCCTCAGTGACTGCGCCCTGTCCTTCAAGGTGCTGCTGGGCGGTGGCTGGGGAGCCTATGTCCGGCGCCGCTTGGCAGCACTGGGGCTGGAGGGGTTGCTGTTGGCGGTCAGGACCTTGTCGGTGACTCGGCTGCGCTTCCGCTTGTCCGCCCCCTCTTTGCTTCCCAAGTCTGAGGAGTTCTTCTCTTTGTCTTTGCTGGATTTTTCTGCTGCTTTTCCCAAACTCCCTGAAGAGGAAAACACTGGAAAAGAAAAAACCATTTGGCTGAAAACAGAAGCTCCAGGATCTCCTGTGTCTCCTAGAGCTGCTACAACCTGTGCTCACACTTGGCTCTGGACCCAGAGGACCTCTGAGTGGGCCTGCGCCTGATGCCTGGAGAGGACCCGGGTTCCCACATATGGTCATGATGTTGCATGCATGCCCTATCCTCCAGTGCAGACTCCCTGCATCCTCTGCTCCATGGGGACCCCACAGGATCTGCCCTGGGCTGACATGGCTGGTGCTCTCTGCGTCTGCCCTCCCATCCCCCTGACCATGCTGTGTACACATGCCCCGACGGCCCAGGTAGCACACTCACTGTCATCAGCCCCACTGTGTGGGTCCACGTCCTCCTTCATCTCCTCTTTCATCTCCTCCTCGATAATCACCTTTCCTGTGGGGAGAGGCTGATGGTCACCACACACCCGCAGTGTGGCCCGTGCTGGGCTCGGCAGGCCCATGCTTGTTGCTCGCAGGCCCAGCATCCGCCCAGACACAGATTGTGAAGAGTCCTCTCTGGCCTGGGGGCTCCCAACACCCTACAGCAAGCAGGGACTGGGATCATGGCAGACCTTGAAGCTCCCAGAGGCCCGGGGCCTTCACCCTCACCGCAGCCCTTGGTCCAGGCCTGATGTGGCTGGTCTTACCTTCTCGAACCTCCTGAATGATCTCTTCTGGAAGGACAAAGTTCCGCTCTGGATTCGGGAACGGAAGGATCTCAGACTCATGCTGATGTCAGACAGAAAGTTTTATTTTTCAAGAAACAAGAAAAAAACGAGGTTTCAGTGAGTCGCTAGAGATGTGTGACAGGTGATGTAGGGGCGGCCAACAGGCTCTTATTAGCAAGGTCTGCTATGTGGGGCTTTCCAGATACCCTTGGGGAGGGCACAGCAAGATGATGCAGTGCACAGTCATGCCCAGGAAGAACAGTGGGGCCAGCGTCACTGAGGAGGAAAGGTAGGGCTGGCCCTGCCCACAGACATGAGAAGCCATTCGCCCACCACTGCCGGCGTCCTCACTGTGAGGGTGCTCTCACCATGAGGGTGTCCAGAGGACAGTGACAGCGCCCATGTGCTGCTGGTTCCTATTCATGTGGCAGGAACCCATGGACACTGAGGGCATTGCCCGGGAATGCCACATGCATGGAAGGTGGAGAGAGGGCAGCAAGGCCACTGAGGGCCAGCTGGGACTGCCTGTCCTGCAGGTGACACCGATCAGAGGGAAGGATGAGCTAGCTGGTGGGAGGGTCCTGGGCCAGGAGGCAGGTCCAGGAGATGGGGTTTCCCTGGGCACTCGAGGGTGGCATGACCCCAGCCCAGTTCACACTGTACTCATTAAGCCCTCCTGGTTGTGGGTCAGTGTCTTGGGTGGGTCCAGGGACTCCATGTTTTATAAGGTCTGGGTGACTGGCATTAGTCACACAGAGGTGCTGTGGTCCAGAGGTGGTGACAGCCTCCTGGTGTTATAGCCCTTTCTGGACACAGGCCATTGTAGGAATAAGGGCCACTGTCCTGGGGCTGAAGGCCCTGGTGGTTTCCTGTGACTCCCTGAGTGTCATACATGAGCCAGCACCTGGGTGCCATAAAACATTTCAGGTCTCAGAGCTGTCTGTCTGCCCAAAAAATGAACACAGTGCCACCTTGATGTCTCCAAATTCTGGTGTGGGATGTATCTGGAGACCAAGTGCCCCTGGCTCCCACAAAAGCCACCAAACTTGCCTTTGCTGACTCAGATAAAGGCACCCTCTGCCTAATGCACTTGTGGGCCTCCACAACCTTGAACACCAACAATGGCCTAGGGTTCCTCCCCCCACCAGTCACAGTGAATGCTCCTTCTGGGTCTCTCAGCTCCTCAGCTGAAGGAGGCTCCCTGGAGGGGCAGCCTGCCACTGGTTCGGGGTATCTGCCATCATACTCGTGGAGCCCCCTTGTTTGAGGAGTGCCCCCTAGGATATCACGCTCCCCAAGGACCCCAGGAGGCATGAGGGCAGGCTGGGACTTCTGTGCCCCCACTGGCCCCCAGCAGGGGAGGGCAGCCCAGCTCACCAGTGCCTGCATGTCATACATAGTGCTCAGGTGGTCCCAGATGACCTTGGATGGCACTTGCCGCCCAATGTTCTGGCTGAACTTGTCCCGGATACAAATCATGTGGAAGTGTCGGTTCACACCTGGGGGAGGAAGGCCAGCTTGTGGGAAGAGACAAGGCAGGAAGGAGAGGTGGGGAAAGATGGGGGTGGGTAGGAGATGGGGGAACAGCAGTCAGCCTGAGGAATGAAGGGGAAGGGTAGGCATGGAGGGAGGGGAGGGGGTAGGGGGGG